ACGTCGGCTTCTAAGACGCATTTTGATGCGTTGTCCCCTCTTCCCTGTATCTGCATCTACCCGGGTCTCTACATAACGGAGCTCGCAAGCGCTATCCAAGAATGATAAAGCCATCTGGACAAAAAGCACGGTTGATGGTCAGAAGTGAGCGCTGCCAGAACAGCAGCAGTTCAAGACCCTTCCAGGGGCCACAGAGAGGTGGCACTGGCACCACTGCTGGGTTCCGAGATGACATTTGTAAAACAGAAAGGCTTCCAGTTTTTCCTGTGTATGTTTTAGCGCTTCTGAAATACTATCATTCAAAATGTGAGGCAGAAAACACCCCAAAAACGTGTCTCGACCTGAATATGGCTTCTGTCCCTGGTCACCACTCTTGGCGATCAGTGAGGATGATAGCCCTCATAGACACAGTTTGTTTATATAAGTCTAAGACAAACACTTCTTTCTTTTTTCCAGCTTCTTCTCCGGATATCTTTATTTCCATACCTTCAGATTCAGGCCCTGTCACTTTCTGTTTGTACACAAACTTATCGGTGCAGAGACTGGCTACTCTGTGCTTCTGGAGTGCCATCATACATAAGTCACTCCGACACATGGGGTTTTTTTCACTCAACCAAGCAAAGTCCCCTCCGGAGGAAAGCAGTGGTTTTGTTTTTCTTTTTAAAACAATTGCACAAATAATAGGAAAAACATGGAAAGAGACAGAAGCAAGAGCATTTATGCAAAATCTTCAAATTGCTTCATGTACAAGTATTTCTTGCGGTAATGCTGATAAAAAGAGGAATCAAACCATGATTCATTACTTACTACAGTATTTTACAGAGATGAGTTAGCTCTGACAAAAATTACAATAAGAACAACTGAAAACTGAAATCTAAGAGGTGCAGGACACAGCTCAGACTGCAAAGCCAGCTTAGCCTTGGATGGAGGATCTCTTCCAGCCCCTACCCTTCTGTGATTCTGTGTAATTCCACACCCCAAACCAGCCTTGACTCCTAATGTCATACTGATTTCCTCAAGCAGTTTCACAACTACAAGATTCAGCCAGTGTTCAGCACACAGAGAGCGTCTAAGCCAAGTTCTGGTTTTGTTGGAAATTTTATGGAAATCACTGCATGAGAAACAATTATTTAGATGAAATAATACTTGGCTGAATGAAGCCACAGTTCCCTCAGAGTATGGCTTATTTCTAGCTTATGACTGACTTAAATATATTCTAGATCTCATATTGATACACTATCTGTACAGAAACTTGTTTTCTGGTAGCATGGCAAATAAACATTTCAATGCAGAGTCCAAACAATTCATTAACATGTAACCATTAATGGAAAAAAGCAAGGATGTCTCATTATCTTACAACTAATTTGACTTACTTTTATTTTTATCTAATTTTTACTTTGCATTTCCCTTCCTAGTAAATACAGACCAATACAGTATCTTCATTTTATAATTCTTTAGAACAATTGATTGATTCAATTGAATTATAAGGGCAGACACAAATACAAATTTACATTCACAAAGCAAGAAAAGTGAGCAACTTAAATGCCCGTGGATGACAACTCGTAATGGGATGAAATCAGTGTGGAAGAGGGATATCTGAACTAAATGAAACTGAGGACAGGGTTGCCCACAGACTGTCCATACAAAAATACTCCACCCTAAAGCATACATCAGAGAGCAGCTACCACACACACCAAGCTTCTGCTCCCTGGCACAGGAACGTCCTTCAGACCAAGCGTCTCTGTGCTCTAATCCCACAACACACAGGCACGTGGCTCTCGGAAGAACTGGTGTATAGCAGAAAGGCTTTGGAGCCAGAACTACTGAGACTGTAAACTCAGAGTTCAGTGCTTTAAAGCCACAATCAAGCAATAGAAGCTTTTATGAACAAATTTTGGTGCTATCTGCACAGTAACATTTCCTTCTGTAGTAGTTAAGGTCAGGGCAAATGTCTAATACATCAGCTGTGTTTCCCCATATGAGACCAAAAAAATAATCTACGAAATCCATTCCCATTTGTTTCATCTTAATTTACTTCCCCAACCCATTCTCACACAATTTTGTCTGAGCAGTAACATGAAGGAACATTATTACATAATTCCAGAACTAATCTGAGCAGTAAGAGCTGTCACTGCCAGAGAAGGGAACAAAAAGCATGCCTAAAATTTCCACTGCAGTATGTCAGTTGTCATTACCCAGGAGAACTTTGCTGCTTTACCACACCAGTCTTGAGAACAAACAGTTTTTCAAGTTGTTTTTGATGCGTTTATTGTCTGACTTGTCTTTTACATTAAATTAACACACATGGCTTTGTTATTGTTACAAACTTGCCCAAGG